AATTTTTTGGCCGGCGCCAGCTTCCCTTGAATCTCTACATTACTTTTGGAAACGGGAACATGTTTATTCTTTTTAATCCACGCTTTTACAATCATTATTACAGGACTGCTTTTGGCGCAGTTCGGCCACGGGGGAGGAACTTGTTGTGGTCCCAATGGGCCACTTTGTAGAGGAACTGTGAAACTCTTGCGAAGGCACAAAATGGTACGAGAACCACTCCCACGCGATTTGTTCTTTAGGTTTTTTGTTGTATCGCACCTACGATCAGTGCAGGGAGGTGGGAAGAAACGGTTGAACCAGGTTGAAGAGGATCCCTGCCTAGCCAGCGGAACGAGGGGCGGGGTGCATGAACCAGCTCCTCCGTGCAGAACATGGTTTGGGAGTGAAATTTGAAACAGTTCTTAGGTCGTCATGGGTTTGAGTAGGTAGGAAAGTTGAAGTCCGTCCTAAAGTTTGAATTAGGGGTTGAAGCGCTCGGCCCCAGTCTGGACTCGGACTTGGCACTTAACAGGATAGTTCGCCAACTATCAGACTGCTGAGGTAGACCTTTGCTCTCTCAGGTCATTCTCGTCACGGCTCGCACATACGGATTGGAGCATTACTTCCGAGTCGTGTTGCGAAGTTCCAAGCACGGTGACGCGTGCACCATTCTCACCAGGACCCAATCCACCTAACGTAACAGTACTGCGGCTCGTCGACTCTTTTGCCGCTCTGCTTGTTGACACACATATGCTCGTGTCTGCCCGGCATCACTATCTTGAAATACTGCGCTTAGAAACGCGCGGTCTGGCGCTTGGAAGTTACGCTCCACCCCCCTAACTCTTTCAGCAGCTATGCACGTATGTTAGGCACTCAACAGCTTACTCCTTCTGTCGTTGCAGTTTTTTTTGTATCAGTATCACTGTACAGATAGCCAACATCCTAAGTTGAACGAACATGAGCAGCTCCTCTACAGACACGTCGTGAATGAAGTTCGTAGAGAAATGGCGGTCAAGAATAGAAGGATCGGTTGCTAGCTGACAATTGAGTATCTCCATCTTGGAGATGGCCATAGTTACTGGACAAGCATACAAAAGTCAAGATCAACTGCGGGAGAAGCGACGACACACTAAGGGTAGCGCGGAAGAGACCAGAAAATGACTGGCGAGAGAGCACACGCTCAAAGGCTCTCCGGCGACCGATCATGCGGACCAGCTGAAGCTACCGTTAGCCTGTGAGCCTGCTTCTTGTGGCACTTGACAGATGCGAAACAGGGTACTTCCTTTGGCGTTTGGGCACTCACGCGTTACCGTACCTATCGAGGAGTGAGACAACTATTGCCAATGGCTCACGTGCCCTAAGTCAAGTTTAGACCCCCCGATGCTGGCCGCTGAAATCTACCCAAGATGCTCAATGTAGTGCTAGCTGCGATGTGCTATCAAAACGCCAAATACTATGGCGTACAGGAAGGCTAGCTGTGGGTCCATGACAAACAACCTTTTACGCCGCCGGCTTTTGTAGCAGAAATGTAAGCGAAGGTCGGGGCACCATAGCACAATATAGGTTTAGCGACGCCTTCTTTTTCCCAATGACTCCGCCTCAGACCCGCCCTTCAAGGTCCGCCTTTCAGTGATAAACGAAGCTGCAGGACGAGAAAGCATGAAAATCGTCACTTGTACGGTCGTAGCAGTTCCAATCGAAGAATCAGCTAGCTGTGCGGGATGAGGCGCATTGTCGAAAATGACCGAGTTCGCTGATCACGCTGCATAAACTGGGATTGAAATGGGGTTTTATTCCGGCAGTTTGGCATATTTTTTCTGCTTTTTTTCTTTAATATCGAATCCTCAGCACGCTGGCGTCTATGTGCAAACCCCTAATCCACTATCTGAGATGGAGAATGATCGTTGACTTTGCCTTTGATGAGCCCTATCAGCACATCTTATGCATCTGGGTTAAATGCTTTTGGTATTTACGACAGCGGGAAAGCCTCGAAAGCTACCACTTTCTCACCAATGGGAATTTCGTTTCTGTGTAAAGTGAGAATAACGACTAAACGTAGTCAATCCGCAAACCATCCCATTCCCACAAGAAGAGGCAAAGCCGTTCCCTCCCGAAAAGGTCGATATTCCTGTTGATGAAACAGAAAGGGATTTCCTCACTAATGCACCTTCCGGGTGAGAGAAGTTGCCCTCAACTCAAGCCGTCTTTTTTGAATTGCTCAGTGCAGCTGAAGACACTTAGGCATTCTCCCAATAGACGAACTTTGTGCGGCGGAGGTGGATTGTTAAGAGGCTCAGGGTTATTCTTTCCGTTTGGTTATTATCTCTGCTCGCGCATTAGTGTCTTGAGCGGGGAGCGTAGAAAGATTGATGCCGGCTGAAACCGGAGATGAATATTTACCTTCTGAATACATTACCGGCCCTTTATATAGTGACGAGGGGAAGGCTGAAAATAGTCAAGCTGCTTTCTTTCCTTGCAACCTTCGAGCGATATCTCATGGGAAACCCGTAATCAGTAAGCAATGCCATAGCAGCACTGTTTAACTTACTCGCCTCCACATATTCTAGCATATTCCACGACACTTTGCTTGCTACCGCAGCGTCCATTGTGCCTGAGAGTGAAGGGAACAGCACGTTCTTTGGCTTAGGAGGGGCATTTCGCACTTTCGCCAGTTCCTTTTGGTAGTTCATGTTAAGTAACAGGTCTCAATTTGATGAGACCTGTAAACTCTTGCAAAACTCTCTGAACTCTTACAAAATGGTGCAAGTTTGGCTACAAGTTACAGATGTTTATAAACTAGCCTGTACGTGCTCCCTGGAGCATCATTCGTTGCCCCCACCAAGCCGAACTGCGCCGGCACAGCATCACTGTGCAAAACGTTGAATACGTACGCCCTGCCCCATCCCTCTGAAAGGTTCTTCTTCTGTTCACAAAGTCGGGGGTGATGTCAGCAATTTCGTCCGTTGCCGCCTGACTTCTCTGGTGAGTCTCAGGATGTCACGAAATACCTCTTCACCCAGTTTCCTACCAAACTTCCGCGAAATTTCTCCAGTTTTACGCCGAAAGACGTAGGCGTGAGCTGGCGGGATAGGTTCACTACTGACCCATCCTCAGCGGCCAAATTACGATCCCTTGTATTTTTCACAACGAATGCTGTGCGCTATCCGATTGTGAATAGGATCTCTATATCTCTAGCCTAAGTAATCCATTCTCGGTATTGGATCACTATCTGCTGGCTTACCAGAAGAAAGTGACGTTAGAACCGAGTGCGCTCCACGTGGCCAAATTTCGTCTAGTACGTAGATCCGGATCAGCCAAATTGACCAACCTTCTGCCCTGGGCCGGTAAGTTGGGCAGCAGAGGGGGAATAACATTGACTTACATGTACATTGGTTGACTCCCGCAAGCGATTGTAAAAGTCATATCCCATTCAAAAAGCCACCACGACTTCGCGAGAAGCGAATGCATGTTACTGGATCAACGAAAAATGGCGGTATCAGTGACTAAAAAAATAGACCTTCGGAGAGCTGGCCAAGCTGAACGAAAACCCGAGTAGAACGCCCTCCATCTATTCATTTTGATACCATATACATATTTTCTGCTCTTAACTATTACTGTCATGACATTAAAGCGAACTCATCTGAACGTGCATCTACAGCCGGCTTCTACTATCCTTTTTTCCTTTTCTCATCACCCTTCCCACTTTTTGAAAAAATGCACAGTTTGGTAAGGTTCCATAGATAAGGGCGAATAAACTTGTTAAGTTGATAATTGAGAAAATGTTGAAAAGCGCTGGCAGTGTATGTATCATAATAGCGAAACTTTCACTTTGTCCGCTGTTATCCTGTCTAGGTGCCACGAAGCTCTATTTGTACTTACTACAAACCTGTTGCCGGCTCATACTGGTAATAGACCACGCGACCAATGGCGTCAGCAGCGTTCGAGCGTCCGCAGCTTCAGCGATTAGTAAATCTATAAAGCGTCTAGCGTCTGCAGGGCGACGGAGTAGAAGCGTATGGGGCAAGTGCGGAGCGTAGCAAACAAGCTGAATTAGACATTCGCGAAAATTGCGGTTTTGCACCGCACGGTAACAATACACTCCACCGCCAACTAAATTGCACAACCTCGTAATTATAAGCGCGTTTGCTGGGGTGCGGCCTGCACACGCCGCAATTTACGGACGCCAGTCAGCTAACAACTCCGTTGCTACCCTCCTCCACTTCCCAATAGTCTCTATCCTCTGTCTGAACGCTGTGCGAGCCCACTGGTAGACGCTGACAAACCCTGGCAGACGTTGCCAGGCGCTGGCAAATGCTAGATCGATATCCATACCTTCCTATTCGCCGACGCTGCCGGACGCCCGGAACGCTAGTGGACGCTGGTAGACTCTGGTGGACGCTGCCGCAATCTAAGAACGCAGACTTATGGTTTTCGAGTGTCGTGCTCCAGTTATCAATGGAGCCGAAGAACACGAAACCAAAAATTGCAAGCTGAGTCATCACAAGCAACGGCAAAAGTTGCCATGGTCACTGAAAACCTGACCCCCTTGCCTGTTTGTGGAAGCCACTCATGTCGCGTTAAAGACGTACGATAAGGATAAAAGGTGCCCAAAACGCTAAGAACTTTCCGGACAACCTAATATAAAATCTTCGCCGTTAATCACCCTTTGTGGAATGCGGCACGAATTCTACTTCCTCAGAATCGTAGTGGCTTACTGAAGATGTGGTCTATACAATGACTTGCGGGGCCAGCCGATGTACAAGTCAGTGTTTTATCCTCCCAGACGAATCTGGTACCAATTTACCGTCCCCGGAGGGTAGAAGGCTTGGTTGGCCTGGGCGGGAGTCGACCCGGGATTCGAACCCAGGACCGCGCGGGTGGTAAGGTCATTTGTCATTACACCACCTCCGCCTCAAAGAATACGATATTAATGAACAAAGAGCCAAAATACCGTCGCGGCAAGCTTATAGCCAGATCGGTAGGTTAGAGTTCGCTTGTTTATATCAGAGCATTATTGTAAAGAATGATCGCATATGACTCGCTCGTGAGGAGCTGCTAGCAGTTGCAGTTTTCACGTCTGTAACCACCACTGACCCGATTTGGATACAGTCAGTCTCCCTGGAAAAGAAGAGGCGTGTTAAGGGGCAGGGACTAGAAGCAGCCGAATCCCCACCAATTGTTGCGGGTATAGAACGTCACGATAGATGGGAAATCACCTTCGCTCTGACAAAACCCATGCTCCCTCAACGCCCTGTGGTTTGCTGAGAAAGCCTCTGTACACGGGTCACTTTTCGAAGCCATTCGAAGTTGGGAATTACGAACAAGTTCTGGGTTAGAGCAGTGATAGCATTTTGAATACGATTGGCCCAGTGAAATGACAAATGACTTGCACGGGAAATCCTCGGTATAACGCTCATTAATTGGCCCATGAGGGAGCTTTTTTGAAATTTTCGAGTCGTACTTTTTGCGAGCGTATTCGGAGTTGGGCTTGCCAGCCAGATCCGATCGCATCTGAAAACTGTTCCATCAATCTTCTTCTCTTGCCAAGAATTTCCATTTTCAATTTTCCAGCACTTAATTGAATCGGTCACTCATCAAAATCCTGAAATGGCGTCTGCGATGAAATTCTGCTACTACTCGAAGAATCAAGTTCGAAGGACACTCTCTACCAGCCCGTATGCCCCATTTGTAAGCACTGTAATAACCAAACAAGTATCAGATATTACCTTTGCAGGTCTGTTCCGGACACGCGACTGGAAGAATTTAAGAGGAAGTTCAGACGAAGCGGTTCCATTGGAATACCATTCGTTCCCGAAGACGACATCAAAAGGCTCTGTTTGGCAAGAAAAGGTTGTTTCGAGGAAGTATTTGATCAAAAAACTGTTCAGTAAACAGCAAAGGCGATCAAGTGTCATGAATAGTCCCGTTCAATTACGAACAAGTAGCTGCTAAATGATTTCCCAAAGAAGAAAAAAAGCAGAAAGAATCCCGAAGAACACCATAAATAAAATCGCTTCCTGACAGTCACATCGCCCTGTGGTTTCTGTTCAGCCCTTGCTCACAAATCACCTCTTCGCATTTCCCAGTACCAAATGTCATCCATGTGACATCGACGCAAACTAAAGAAACTCTCGGAAATCCTGCGCCAATTTAGGATCACAGTAGCAATGCACGTCGACATTTCGGCACTATTCAACTATTACTACCCCAGTTTTGCCAAAACAGGGCGGATCTTGATCGACTTTTTTCTACGAAAGCGGATTTGGCTGAAATTCGGGTTATAGAGGTAATTCGACCTCCTGAACACGAATATAACATCTGCCTGAAAGTGCATGGCGCCCGCGCCACAGGCGCCAGCGTATTGGGGCATTTTGGCGCCGGCGCCCGTGGCGCGATCTTCGAGCAGTTTCAGGCCGAGCGGATGTGATATTCGTGTTCAGGAGGTCGAACTACCCCTGGGTACAAGTTTTCAGCGGATTTGGTGATCCAGGGTACTTTGGCGCGGGCGCCAGGCATTTTCGGGAGGAACGGATGTGATATTCGTGTTCAGCAGGTCGGATTACCCCTAGAACCCAACTTTCAGCCAAATCTGCCCCCGCAGAAAAAAGTCGATCAAGATCCAGCCCGTTTTCGGAAAACTGGGGTAGCTGAATAGTGTCGACATTTTTAACAAACCAGTTGCATCACTGATGATTTTAAAAGCTCCTGATGAAAAAAGTACCAAAGGAGACAGTATCACTTATAAGCGCGGGTGTGGTCGACAGAGATGTACACCCGTCATCCGGGCAGTTGATTAGGGCGGTTGTCAAGGGGCCGCAGACGCGGCTGCAGCAGCGACCGCGTACGTAGGAACTGTGTGCGGCGATCGGCCGTTCCTGGCCTGGTTTAGTCTTTTTTTCCTACTTTTCACTGTTTTGGCTGTTTTTTTCATGGTTAACTGTTCCTTGTCTTCACAAGATAAATGATGATTGAGTTTTTTCTAATTTTTGCCAAAGACGATAGCAAACCAGGTTTAACAAAAACACCTCAAAGAAAATTCTCGAAAAGGGGGAGGGTGTGAAGTTCTTGAGAAAGAATGGGTGAAACAGGTGGGAGGGCTGCAGAAGAATCTGTGATTTTCGATGAGGAATGGGCGACAGATGTGAGGGAGCTTCGAGGAGGGGGGGAGTTGAGAATTCTTGAGAAGGGAACGGGTCAAAGAGGTGGAGAAGCTGCAGTAGAATCTGTGATTTCTCGAGGGGAAATGGGCGACAGAGGTGCGGGAGCTCTAGGGGGTGTGAGAGTTCTTGAGAAGGGATGGGTGCTGTGATTGTATGCATCGGTGGTAACATCCGTGGTAGACATCGCCGATAGGTTGATAACCAGTGCGTATTTTGAAGTGGTGCTCTGAGAAGCAGTAGATATCAGGAAATAAGCAAGTGAGAGTGCTTGGACAGAACTGTTGTTACGGCCCACCATCGGGGGGAGCCATTCATATAGACTGTTTTTTCACATGACATCGCAATCTGGCCAATTTTTGAGGCGACCATATTTCTCAGTGGGCAGAATTGGCCGAAAATCGACCCTAGGCGTAGTTTTGACTCCCGAACATGAATATCACATCCGCTCGGCACATCTGCTGGCGCCGAAGTACTCTAAATCGCCAAATCCGCTGAAAACTTGTTCCCAGGGGTAGACTGACCTCCTGAACACGTGTATCACTCCGTTCGGCACGGAACTCTCCTGGCGCCCGCGTCATATGTGCCGGCGCCAGAATACCCCAAATCATCGCAAGAGGTTTCGGCTAAGCGGATGTGATATTCGCCTTCAGGAGGTCAAACTACTCCAGGAGGCAACATTTGAGCCATGTTTGTCCACGGTCAAAAACTGACTCGATTTCGGATGATTGGGGCAGTAAAGGGTAAATAATGTCGCAATTTTTCATTTTAGGGTGAAGTCGTTATTGTCGAGGACGAGGAAGGTCTTCCAATTCTGACTATTGTCGTCAAATGTCAACGAGGAGCCGATGGCGTTTCTCAGATGATTGGCAACCTTCCGGTACGTGACATATTCATGCCACTAGTTTAATTGCAGTTTCACTACAAATATGGAGTGAGAAAGTCATGGAGCGTTTTGCATCGCTATCATCTAATTCAAGAACACTGTTCACGCCTATATTGTGGGCGGGACCGAACCCAGCATTTAGCCTTCTTCAACACTGCACCCCTGCTCTCTGCCGTCATAAAATAAGCGTGCCAAGGCACATCGGCAGCTTCGGTACGACAGCAATGTACCATCAATTTACGAAAACAGGCGTCAACAATAAATCACCAGTGGTGTTTGTAGTGAATCACCTTTCGGTGGAAACTATGGATGGAAGTGTGTAGTTTTAAAAAGAGTTCGATCACTTCTATTTTCATTCGAATACTCGCAGCAAACATATGGAAACTCGCGATTCACAAGATGGATCACCGGGTTGGATGGATGTGCTGATTGAACTCGAACTGGAACTTGGAAGGACTGCGGCTGAAGCGATGGAGGCAATGAAGGACAAAGGACTGCAGGTACACTCTTGTTCCTTTACCTTCTCTTTTTCAGATTGCTTTTAAATGCAAAGTTCTGTGATTTCAGTTCTACGAAGTGTCTCAAACAATGAAGCCTCCTACTGTCGACGCGTTCATGGAGCCTGGAACAAACGGTGATTTTCCTTCTAACTAGTATATTACGTCTTATGTGTAAATGGTGTCTTTGGCGCAGCAGTCTCAAAAAACACTTCTGTGAAGTATTTTGTTACCGCCGGCCAGTTTATCCCCCACGGAGTCGACTCAGTTGCATGTGTACTGCCTATATTAAAGGATAAGCAGCAGCTATCACCGCGCTAGTAGCAGCACCTTTTTACCCTCTCATATGGAGTGCGAAAGAATGATAATGACCTCGTGAAATTACATTCTGCGATTGAAGTGATTGAAGTCCCGGGTCTTCAGAATAAAAAGGAATGGAATTTCGAAAGATAAATTGACTCGCTACTGATCAAAAGGGTGAATGAAGTCATCGAGATCCCCATCCAAATATCTGCAGCACTGGAACGTGCATAGTAATGTGCGAGACACTTGAGCGCAGGCGAGAAACCAGGAACGAGAATAAGAGAATATCAAGAAGAGAATCAGGACGACAGTAGCTCGTTCCCATTAGGGTAAAGCACTTTCTGGAGTGGTCTTCATATGTGGTGAACGCAGCACCCTAGTCACTCACAGCGGAGCCGCGAAAGTGGGACAGGCTGAGACTGTGGGCCACACTACTCGTTGAAGGAAGTGATTCCACTCATACGGTTATCTCCTTTGTCTTGAATACAGCTTATTTGCGAGGCATCACAATGGACTTGCTCAAACCACTCGTACCTTCCAGGAAAGTCGTTGCCGTGCACAAGGCGGACCAACCCGTAGCTGCGGTAGCGTGCTGAAAAAGGTTATGTTCCAAGAGCAGAGTGCGCACAGTCAAAGCAGTAGAATGATTTATCGCCACCAAGTAACCTGAAACTTGAGCAATTAAGCAAACACGTAAATAATACGGACCCCAACACAACGGAAATACATGAATGATGATAAAACAAAGGCCCAAAGGATTCACCCTCCCCGTGCCCTCCTATATGCCCCTGAGTCATCATCGAGTGTAGTCCTCTGGTGGTGAGCGCCAGCGGTTTGCAGAGTTGACCACAAAAAGCATCATCCAAAAGGAAAGACTCGGCAAAATGAATGGGGCTAGACCCATTTTTGGGCCTAAAGTAAGTTCGTTCCCGCCAACGACGGTTTTTCGCGCGGGAACCTTGCCTACAGTAACTTTGTGCTGGAGCGCA